CCGGCCTGTGCACGCAACACGAAAACAGCGATGATATACTGAGCAAGCATTCCAACAATAACAGTCTGCCACTGGATAGCTTTGCGGTTTTTGGAAGTAGCCCAGAAGAATGCGATCATAACAGCCAATCCGAGCAGACTCATAGCACGGTTTCCGCGAGTATTATCGTCACTTTCCTCGCTGGCAAATGTGCCGATGATGAAGACTGCCACAGTTCCGGCTCCGGCCAAGTGCAACCTAAACCTTGCTGGAATCTTCTCGGTGGTGTTGGCACAGACCTTGTGCCATACCACCGCGATTGGCTTTGTGATGTATTTCGTGGAGATGTAGAAGGTAACCAATCTTATCACAATGCCGAGGTAGAGGAGGAAAGGAATCAACCATCCCAAGTCGTTTCTGTGCAGCACTAGGCCAGTAATCCACCATCTAGAAGAAGCTGGTCAGTATGCTATACCTAAACGTTGGTGACGGAGCAGTTGACAGGACTCACGCAGTCATGACACAGAAGATGGCTAGATGGAGAACCGGCCTGCAGTACTTGGCCACATAGCGTTTGGTACGAGACTGGAACGTCGAAGGTTGTTGGGCGAGATCTGACCCATCCTCAGAATTGCTTCCTGTCTTCTCAATTCCCGTCACGCCGTACTCTACATCTTTTGTCTCAGCAGCTCCTCCCTCGTGAATATCTCTGGCAGCGTACTGAGGTGTACTGCTAGCGTCCCTATTTTTTGTGGAGCTAGTCCCAGACACCTTCCTCTCCATAGTTATAGGCGTGCTCTCATCATTCTTGATACCAGGAGCCACCACAGAGTCGGAAGCCATTGTGATCGAAGTGGTGGTTACCAAGAGCTTGCGAGGAAGTCGAAGATAGGTTCTCGTACACAAAGCTGAGGAAGGCAGAATGCGAGCCAGTGGGGAGGGGAGAGGACAAATACTTATGCACAAACCTTCCTTCCCTTTCTTACGGAAGAGGTCTGTTGATTAGTTCTTGCCCAGTGTAAAGCGGACGATTAGCCTTTCCCTGGCAATTGCCATATCGTCCTATGGAATTGCATCCTGGTGGGAGAGAAGTGGGCCATCCAAGGTATACTTTCCGACGTATACTGCATTCTCTACCAAGAAGTGCAGATACACTCGCAGACGCTCACTCCAAGTGGCACTGAGCGTTGTGCAACCATCCTATCACAAGGTCGGAGTGACACGCCCAGCCATCGCCGCGGTCTAGTGCAGTCCTGGGGTATTACCCGCCAAGGAGCATGGGCACCAAAGAAGAAGGTCAACCAGATACCCAACTCCAGGAAATCCCGCCGTTCACGGATCCAACCTGCGATCGAGAAGTCTTACCACCAAGCGAACCGGACTTGGCCGGCTGCGCTGAAGTGACCTGAAGTAAGCTCTGACACGTGCACTTGAAGAACTGACAGATAAGGAAGAATACGACTGACCAAAGCAACCATTGGCTTCGACTTCCTACGGTGCGGTACAATGGAGTGTTCAAGTGTTCTTGACTCTTCACACAGACGTTCGACGGTCATCGGCAAAGGCTGCACTGTGGAACCATGGGGCTTTGCACATTCCATAAGAATAATACTAAGATTGGCGAGACTACCTGGTGATCTCCAATCTCCAGTTCCACTTCCACTTCCACTTCCACTTCCAGTTCCACTTCCAAATCCAGTTCCACTTCCACTTCCAAATCCAGTTCCACTTCCACTTCCAAATCCAGTTCCACTTCCACTTCCAAATCCAGTTCCACTTCCACTTCCACTTCCAAATTCAGTTCCACTTCCACTTCCAAATCCAGTTCCACTTCCAAATCCAGTTCCACTTCCAAATCCAGTTCCACTTCCAAATCCAGTTCCACTTCCGAATCCAGTTCCACTTCCACTTCCATCTCCACCTCCACTTCCACTTCCATCTCCACCTCCACCTCCACCTCCACCTGAAGTGAAGTCGTCAAACATTCTGCCAAAACATCAGAAAAAATCATGGATTTTTAAAAGTTCCACTACCGTATCAATGCAGGCTTCGGGCTAGCCCCCCAGCTAGGGAAGGATGGGCATCTGGAACCTAAGCCATGCTCAACCTACATTTCTTGGCCCGATAGGGTCTCATCCGGCGGCTTACTGAGGTGCGGGCCACAAGTCTGTCATACAGAGCAAATGCCACCACGCCTCTGTGTATGTCGTGGATATCACGTTTCAGCATACTGGGACTCCCCAGCTAAGGTACCGCAGTATTCCAAGACTCGCGTATGAACTTTTTTATGCATTGGTACAGAGTGGAAGAGTGAATCGATCGTGACTCGCCAACCGGTTATTTTCTAGAACTCTAAATAAAATAAGGATGTGGCCGCAGGTGCCAAGTGATAAGTTCCGCTCCGTGGTGGTTGCATTGTTTATTTTACTAGCTGCTGGATGGTCAGAAGCTTACCGACAATCTGTTGACACCAACCACAGTATTGCTCACCGCAGCAGTAATCCCAGCACGAAATTTCGGGCTTTTTTCCTATCTGTGTTGCCTGTGGCGACTGACTGTCACGCCCCAACACGGAACCGAGACAGCTTGTGGTTGGAAATCTGGTTGCCACTTCGCTCGGGTTCTACATGTGTTGTACTGTGCCTGAGTAGAGGCTTTGAGCATTCAAGCCTTGGTATGTTGGAATTTCCCTAGAGATTCCTAAAATGGCAGGCGATAAGTATTCTTGGCGTGTCCGGACGTCGCCAGGTTTTCCCATCTTTGATTTTCATGAACTCGACGGTGTCTCTCTTTGATGTTTTGATGTTGTGCACTGTGCTGTTGTTGCGATATTGATCGCCCACATTGATCAACATATTCTGTGTGTCTGTTTCATGGTCGCGCAGACTGGTGACTCCATGAGCTTGTCCTGCAAGTAGCCGACGCCATGGGCCTAACGTCGCCGTCTGCTGTGACAGTCAGCCAAGTTCGGGCAGATGGGGCTTTTCCATCACCTCGTCATGTTGTACCCTCGCGAATGTATGGTTCCGAACGCATGCTTTCACCCACTTTTGCACGCTCCTTGAAGACGGCATGGCACAGCACATACGGCCCTTGATAGGTATTGGCTCAGAGCTTTGAAGCGTACTGTCTTAGAGAAGTATCTGAGAAAGCGATCAAATTCCACACGCAAAGGGGATGTCTTGTGTATTTAACATGGGTTGTCAAGCACCACGAGCCGTTGGGACGAATCAAGTGTTCAGGTACAGCACACTGTTGATTCCCATTGTCTTTTATCGAGGATGGAAGAATTGGCCTTTGTCTCACCAATAGCTTATAACAAGCTATGCCCTAGGGCATAGCCGTGCTTCATAGCCTTAGGCTGACACAGCACGTAAATGGATCAATCAATCAATCAATCAATCAAGCTGGGCGTATATCTATACTAAAAGCAACGGTCTACTCCCAGTAGGCGCAAGCTTCTGGCCTCAAAAACGACTGTATCTAAAAGGGGTATCTGAATTCACGGCGGGTGACTCAGCCCCCTCCAAAACAACAAAATCAAGACTCACGATATATCAAAACAATAATCTGACACGTCGCGATGGCTCCACCAACAAGATCGAATCCGTTCCGCACGCCTAGCCCTAAGCCTTTGAGGGGTAAAGAAGCTACTATTCGAAGGAAAGCCCGATTCTATCACGACGTAGCTCGAGAGGGTCAGATGAAGCCGATTTATAAGATTGGGAAAGCAAATGGTATTTCAGACAACACCTCGAAGATGGCGAGACGAATATAAGATCCAAGGCGAGGGAGCAAATTATAGATCACGATCAAGATCTACGAGACTCGGTCGCAAGTCAGAGATTACAAAGGACATGTTACAGATGCTCTGTTCCCCGAGTCGAAATCCGGTCCGTAAACAACCGTACGAGGTGCAAATTGCATATCACTACCTACCTATGAAAACGCGTCAATTACAACGGAAAACTCAAGGAAATAACCTACGGAGGAGGTCGATATAAGTGCGCCTTCGTTAAGTGGATTATGTCAGACAAAAAAGCTACCGAACGAGCTACGTATGGTTTACAACACTTTTACGATCCTATTTTTAGTTTTTGGGGCCACATAATCTTTACAGACGAAGCTCATATCGACCCTACCTCTCAAGCTCAAGATCGTGTCACTCGAGAGCAAGGGACACGCGATAATCCGGAGAATATCGAAAAGAGGCCCCTTTAAAAGGTGTGCGGTTCCACATGGCCGCTTGGATTAGTTGGTGGGGCAAAGCAGAGAAGCTCGAGTTCCGTAATGATGAGGAAGACAAGGTCGAACGTCCTCCTTACCCCCCCCGAAGCCTCTACGCCGCCCAACTACAAGTCTCCCGAGGAATACGCCCGTCGAGTACAAGAATGGGACTCAGGGAAGCCTCATCAAGTAGAAGTGCAGGTTAAAGGTAATGCAATGACTCAAGAGTACTACGTAGAGAGATTTCTACCTATATACTGTCAAGCGATCGAGTCTACGCGGGGTATCGACGATAAACTCTGGCTTTTACAAGAAGATGGTGACCCTTCTCATGGTATGCCAAAGAAGGGACTTGCGCAGGAGTATAAAGCTATTCAAGACATCCAAAATCTCTCCCGCCCTGCGCAGAGCCCTGATTTAAACCCTATCGAAGGTATCCGGGCTATCCTAAGGCAAAGATTACGGCGTAGGATCTTCGATTAGGAGGAGATGAAGCAGGTTTTACAAGAGGAATGGGACAAGATTACGATGGAAGAGATCCGATTTCGGATCGCTGATGTGTCTAGAAGATGCGCAGAGCTCGTAAGATCTAGTGGCAACCCGATCCGAGGTACTAAATGGTGAAACGGCGTTGTAATCAATATATGATATCACTTCTGATTACCCTCGAGATTTTGGTGGGGCTGAGTCAACCGCCATGAATTCTGACACCCACTGTTGAGAGAGCGTCCCCAAATTGCGTAGTCAAAAGAGTTTTCAGAAGAAAAAAAAAAAAAAAAATAATGGGATGAAAAAGTTCCTACCCATATTCGAAATGGGGACTCGAGAATCAGAATCTCGCGTGCTAACCGCTACACTATAGGAACCAACGCTTCGATCCCTGCCCGCCAAATTATTTTATATATACTGCTCTTTCAGCGAGCCTGTGGGACGATAGGTGTGCCTCCGGCTTTTTCACCGGCACAATTCTCTAGCTTTTTGTTTAGTAAAATACACAGCAGCTCAAAAGTTGGTGCTCGTCTCTTTTCGGCCTTACCTAGTGATCTAGCGTCTTTAAGAATGTTGTCTAGCAAATATCTACTACTAATAACATCGTTGTAGTCTATCCTAGCTGCTCTTACAAGTCAGCCGCTCTTACAGGAAAGCAGATCTTACAGAACAAATCTCGCACCTACTAGCAAAGATACAAACAGCGGCAGCTGCGTCAACTCCTAGATCTAGTAGATGTCAGACACCTTATAAGCGGCTGGCTTGTATCAATATTCACTTCGCGCACACTGTTTTGAAAGAATCGAACTAGATAACACTACGTATAAGTTATTAAAATCCTAGCCTCAAAGAACTTGCCATTGTTAGCGAACTTTGCGTTGCTTTCTAATAATAGCAAAAAGTGTGGCAAGGTCAAGTGTTGCAATGATAATACCTTATTCGTTACTTCAAACATTCGTCTGCCTGGTAGCTTCAATCACTGAGACCAGTCTGATGAGCTCGTTTTTGCAAAGAGAAACAGTTAAGATGAGATTTACGACAGATCATCTGACACGATCACTCTGCAGCTCCACAGGTGTTCCTCGATTTCAAGACGAGTGGTGACTTAGTGACTAAGAAGAGCAACATAGTCAGGAGAAGAACATCGAGTGGCCTCATATTGCGACATACATCAACGTTGATCATCCTTACCATCAGGAAGGAGCGGTGGCACCAGTACGACTCTTTCGATTGCTGCCTCTTGGTCAAGACTTCCCAGAATGAGATAACGACATCCAAACACAACACCGTCGCGGACTGCTTGTGCTTGAGATACAGAGAAGCACACGCATGCGACCCACAAAACTGTAGCGGACTATCAGTAGCCAAAAGATACTAGTTCAGAACACGTCATGTATCTAGGAGCTGGTATGCATGGTAAATACGCAATATTCAGCTAGTTGGCGATCAAGATTCTCGAGCCATCCGACATGCGCTAAACGAGATAGCGCACGGCGATATAGGACGTAGGCAGTTTATAACTAAACAACATCGCGGCTACACCTTCTCTGGCTTTCTGAAGGACCACAACACGAACTTTCGGCTCTTTCACGGGTTGTTGACTTCTGACTGGCGTTTGGTCATCTCGACATGGAGTTTTCCGCGTGACAACTTCAACTGTGAAGTACTTGGCTTCTTCGTCTGTGATCGATGCTGCCATCGATAATGTCAGTGGGTCTGAGGTCTAACATCAAACCCAGCGCCAGCGAGTAACATCTCATTTATGGGAGAAGAGAGGACGAGCACAAAACAGAGACACCAGGGGGTTTGCAGTCGTTCATTCGGCCCAAAGACTGCAGATTTTGCGTCGCGCTTGATCGTCGACGGAACCATCAAACCATGTGCTGGATTGGTTTGAGACAACGGATAGGCTTCTATCAAGTGTCCGCCGATGATGTTCTGTCAGAGCCTCTGGAGACCTTTACCATCAACAATTACACCACCGACATTCCTTTGAAGATCTCACATCAATTTACGGGCTATCTGGTAACAACTTCGCGAAAGCGATGTTGGAATTTCGACGAAGTAGCGTTTTGTAGGACATTTTCCCACCAATTTATTGACATTTACGAGTACGGTAACTGATTTTGGCAGATCCTTCATTATCCGCCGAGCTGCCATTCATGACTCACAACAGGGGGTGTCAACGATCCATGCGCACGGGCCAGTCTCACCAAAAATCCAGAGGAGCTTCAATATCAATATATGTTTGCTTTACAATATAACATCACCACTTAATACCTCTAATAGGTTTCCCGCCTGTTGTTCTTTCTAGCTCGGCGCATCTCCTGGATATGTCAGCAATGTGATCTCGTATTTCTTGCATTGTGATATTGTTCCATTCCTCTTGAATAGCCTCCTTCATTTCCTCTTCAGTATCAAACACCCTTTGGCGCAACCTTTGCTTAAGAATAGCCCAAATACCTTCAATAGGATTACAGTCAGGGCTTGCGCAGGGTGATATAAGTTTCGTATATTGTGAGCTTCTTTGCACTCTTGAGCGAGGCCTCTTTTCCGCATTCTGTGAGAAGGGTCGCCATCCTCTTCTAAAAGCCACGGTTTATCGTCAATCTCTCGCATAGACTCAATCGCTTGAACGTACATATGTAGGAGTTGGTCTACATAGTACTTTGGATCATTGCGTTGCCTTTGACTTTCACTTCAACTCGTGAGGCTTCGCAGCTTCCTATTCTTGTACTCGGCGGTGATATTCGTCTTCTGTTTCAGTTGTAGGTCGCTGACGAGGCTTTGCGGGATGAGCAGGACGCTCAACCTTGTCTTCTTCGTTGTAAAACTCCACTTTGTTTGCTTTTACCCACCAACTAATCCACGCGGCAACGTGAAACCGGGCACCCTTTAACGGGAGCCTTTCCCCAATATTCTCAGGCTCCTCACGCGTTCCTTGCTCCCGAGTAACTCTATTGCGTGCCTGCGCTGTATGGTCAACGTGCATTTCGTCTGTATATATGATGTGATCGAAAAATCCAAAGAGAGGCTTCCATACGTGGTCTGAGCCGTATTTCTCTCTTTCAGGAAAGTTCTTCTCCGAAATAACTTTATTCGCATAGGCCATTATATATCGAGCTCGTCCTTTGATATACTCCTTCAACTTTCGTTGCAATTGACGCGGTCCTACAGGCAAATTGTGGAATGCGATTTTAATATCGTGAGTGTGTTTCCGAACGGGATTTTTGACGGAGAGCAAAGCATTTTACACATCGATTTTGTGACTCTTGACTTCGATCCAACCTTCGTAGACCTCGACCTAGTCTTATGCTTTGCTAAGCTCCCAAGCTTCGCCCATTATTTCTTCCATTTGCGTCCGCAAGCCTCGGAAATCGAGTTCTTAGAAATCGCCGTGTTATCGCCCTTAGCGACATCGTACCAGAATCACGAGCTAACGCATTGAAGAATCGAACTTTCCGTGCAGTTGTAGCTTCTCTGTCTTATAAAGCTTCAGGAATATGTGATCGGAAAGGGTCTGAACGCGTTGTTCGTCCCGTAATTGCAAGTGAGTTTTTTATTCACAATTTATTAGAAGCCGCGATTTGAGGTCTTGGTGTTTTTGGCACGTGCGTACGGTGATTGTACGGAGAGTGCGCAAGCGACTTAAAAAGAGCAATCCAAACTAAATACTGCTAGTAAACCCTTTGGCAATGAGCCAACTAAGCTCCTGAATATCCCAGAGATTGTGGACAGGTATAATTATGAAATGGGAGCTGTAGATCAGCATGATCACTTGGCAGCGAAGAGCCCCAAGCTTCCTGGGGTTGTTAGTTTTCGCTCACAAGCTGACTTTCGGAAACAAGTTTCAGAAGACTTCATGATATGGCAATAGGATTGAGAGGGTCTGTCTTAAAGCGCAAAACGCCGGGTAACAGTGGACAGTATACAACACAGCAACATCACTTGGTTAACCTAGAAACTATGAGCAGTTTCTTTGCTTGTAAAGCAGCATATCAGTCTGATCTGTCCCCAGAAAGCGCAGGCGCTAGGCAAAATTGCGGCAAATGTGGGGCGCTCTAGCGAGAGCCATAAGACTTGGGGGCAGTGTGATACTTGCAAATACGCCTATGCAATTTAAAGAGCTCAGGAAGAGATTGTATGGCTATATTTCATGATATCTAGTGAGATGAAAAGTCTTTGGAATCCCGAAAATGCCCCTTTTTCAGGCGACAAATGAAGCCCTCTGATTGATCAGAGATACTGATTGCCAAAGCTTGGCACTCCACAGGCCATGGAATGGCAGCTCAGGGGATAGCACTGTCTCTCTCCAGTTCTCTTCAACTCAATCCCGGGCCGGGTAAGATCCTATGCCACGAACGGCCAAGGACGGGCAGATCGTATTTGCCAAGAGACTTGGCTGCTTGTTCAAACGTTCAACGACTTTACAACCCATGTTTGGTAAGTATCGCAAGTAAATTGATACATCGCGCCGGAATTGCCCTGGCTTGCTCTGTTTACTTCACAATCAAAATAGAAAGGACGAAAGAGCCCAGGCTGCCAATCTACTGCCTTAGGTACTTCCACAGGCGCCGTGAATACGGCACGTCCAATCAGAGTCGCTAGGTTGTCGCCACTTGCCACAAAGCAGTTTACGCGCATAACGAGTAGTACTGCGCAGGCCGAAGCTCCCAAAACTAGCTGAAGATCAGCATATTGAGGCCTGGTAGGGTATCCTCTTCATCATCATCGTTGTCTTTACTGCGAAGGTTACGTAAAAAGCGTTTGCGCAGAGTAGAATAACCTCTGCGCGATGCCCAAGCATGAGTATGAGTATACCATGCAAGCTACACCAACGTCAATTTGCATCTTTCAGAGTCTTGGAGCATTGTTCTTTTCTCTGCTAAACCACCATAGGCTCAGTCATACGTGTTTTTGTGCAGGCGGCAGACTTTCTGAGGATACGAAACACTCAGCCAAGACTATATGACAAACTAAAGGAGACATTATATTTACAAAGTGGATTAAAGGAAGTCTCTACTCATATCATCACCTTCGTTGTTATACGAAACGAACGATCTTGACCAATAACTAGGGTATGCCAAAACTGTTACAAATCGTTGTGCCGTATCTCTATCTTAAATGGAGTACTCGAGTATGACAGACTGGCTAGAGTACTCCTGCAGTCCTCCCTGTTTGTTGGAGGACGTGAGAATTGACCACAATCTGCATTTCTGCCTCTACCGTATTGTGGCATTTGGAAGCCACTTCGAATACTGACTCTATTCTCACTATAAAGTCTGGGCGCATATCATATGGTAACTAGTAAATGAAGAAATGAAATGTTACTCCGAATTACAGAGCCATGGTGTGATTGTGTGGCGTCTCAATATCA